TAATTAAACAGCTCTGGTCAAGGAAGAAGAGACCAGAGGTAATTTGCAAGGTAACGAAGCAAAATCCGAGTCTTGGTACAGCAAAATCCGAATTTCATCAATTAAATTAATATTAAATTGATTAAATTAAATTAATGAATTAAACGTGAGCTCTGTCCCCAGAAGAAAGTAGTCCGCAATGAAAACTTGCAAACTTATTAAGCAAAGTCCAAAATTTATTGAATCAATTAAATTTTTGGACTCTGTACACAGAAGAAGGTGGTCCGCAATGAAAACTTAAAAAGTAAGGAAACAAAATCCGAACTTCGGTATAGCAAAATTCGAAAATCAGATAGCTCAGTTAAATTTCTGAAATCTGTTCACAGAAGAAGATGGTCCGCAATGAAAACTTATGAAGCAAAATGCGAAATTCATTGGATCAATCAAATTTCTAGACTCTGTCTACAGTGGAATGTGGTCAGCAACGGAAACTTGCAAAGTGGCGAAATAAAATTCAGAATTTGGTAGAGCAAAATCTGAATTTCAAAATTCATTAGATCAATTAAATATTTGCGCTTAGTCTAAAGAATAAGATGGTCCAAAATAGAAATTTGTAAGGTAATAAAAAGCTTTGTAAACGAGTCTAATAGAAAACTGACGAAGTTTTCATCCCAAAAAAAGAAAAATCCTAAGAACACTGATCGAAATTATCGCAAATCACAACATAGGTGGGTACTACATGTTCACCATGATTATCATCACAGATCCAATATATCGTACATATCTCAAAGAAGTAGAAACATACAGCACTTTGTGTTAACTAGATTGAGAATATTGGTTTATGATGTTATATGAATATTGGCAATGCGTTTTTGTCATGCTCTTCCTCCCTCTCTCTCTCTATCTTTCTCTCACTCTCTCTCCTTTACTCACTCTTTTTCTCACACTCACTCTCTTTTTCTTACTCTCTCTTTTTTTCTCACTCTCTCTCTGTCTTCCTTTAACCAATCTTCTTAGATTTATTAAGAAAACTTAGACGTTTGAAATTGATTAGCCTATTCTGCCATGGGTACCTAAACTTTCTCTTAGGTACAAACAAAATGAACATCTCACTGACTTGGTTTGATTCAGCTCTAAAAAAATTCGAAAGAAATATCTGATATTAAACTTTTATAGATTTAATCCTTTGTGTTTTATTACAACAAATCAAATTTGTATGTATGTTGATCCTTTTTTTTCGAGTCAGCACAACTGGGCACTTTTACTCTTTGATAGCATAATAGATATTTTAGGTCGCAGTGCACTATCTCTTATACAAATCATAAAATTTTTTTGTAAATGATTTTGGTGACTTTTTTTATTGAAGAAGTATATTTCGTTAATTATTAACCATAAACGTATCAAAATATCATATGTGATTAAGTCCATAAGCAGGTCCTAAGCTCATCGCCACTTGGCCTATTGTAATACTGAGTCCTGAGTGATTTTTTATACCTTATAGTTAATATTAGTTAATACATATTTAACCTTATTGTAAATCTTTTGTTTTATTTAAATTTCTACTTAAGTTTAGTTAATCAAAGTATTTTTCTTATTTATTCTACATATTTTATTTATGACAAGCGCTGCGAGCAAATTGAGTTCTTGAGTTGGAAAAGCAAATACCGCTTTTCTCCTTTAAAGTTTCACAAGTGCATATCCTTCATCTTCACAGCTTGCGTGGGTGCTTTATTTCGCTTTGGCGTCTTAGTTTCATTGCATGTCTTAGTTTCCTTGGCTTTGGCAATCAAGATGAAGCCAACAAGTTAAACAGTAAAAGGACGAAAGCATATTAATTTAAAAGTTAAGTTGATGCATTGCTCAATTTATTTATTCCTTTCACACAATGACGAATTGCAAGCAATTTAATTGCAATATTTTTTCCCTAGCTTTTCTTAGATGCAAGTAGTGACCCTTGACGTTAGCAACGAGTCACTAACAAACCAAGCAATTTAATTGAGCTGAAACAATAAGGACGCATTGGGAGCAATTTTGTTGCGTGTTTAATTTAGTGGCAATCGATATTGAGGTTGATTTACAAGGAACATGGCTAAGGATGCCAACTCGCTGACAATTTAAATTTTTCATTGATAGTTGGTATGCATCAACGCATTGCTCAAATTGTCACAGGTGCCATTATGTGCTGTGCACGTATGACCTGTAAAAAGTTACGTGCACATTCTCTATCCTCATATTGGATGTCCTTACGCTTTCAACCTTTACTTTGAACTTGTTGCTTGGCAAGGAGAATTAAATGTGCTTGGAATTTGTTGGGTTGATAGTGTGGACAAAAATGGTTGATGTCAATTGAATTAGTTGCATTCAGTCAACAAATTCAAAAGGTTTAGAGAAGAATTTTAACAAATTGACCCCTTTATAAAATATTGTATACCATATATATATATATATATATATATATATATATATATATGGATTAGTAGACATAGTATTAGATAGATAGTATAGATAGTCGACAATGGATTATAGTATAGTCAGCCTTTTTGAGCAACTTTTTTAATTACGCTATACCTATGCCTACATACCTTACTTCTCGAAATATCAAGGTTGTAAAAGTTTACACAAATACCTAAAAAAGTACTCACGGTATTAGATAGATAGTAGACACTTCAGAGTATTCACTTATAAACGTCATGAAAGCGAATGCCCATTAAGTGAATAAAATTTTGATTCGATTTCCGAATACGCTGATCGACAATGGATTATAGTATAGCCAGTCTTTTTGAGCAAGTTTTTTAATTACGCTATATGCCTACATACCTTACCTTTCGAAATATCAAGGTTGTAAAAGTTTACACATATAAAAAAGTAAGCACGGTATTTATCGCCAATTAATATATAAAAAATAAATTCCATTTTCAAAGCCCTATATTTCTGTAAGCAGAAACAAAACAATAATTTAATCAGTTTTACATTTAGATACTTAAATTTGCTTAGGTCAAGAATGGTCACTTACCACCAGAAGGCAGTATGGTAACTCTGAGAATCACAAGAAAGTGTTACGTTAGACTTTGTGATCGGTTTAACAAAAACCAAGACTGTGTAACTATATGATGGTGGGAACAGGTTGCACTCATAGAGTTATAGAGAAGTAGAGTTATAGGTATTAGGGTAGTCTGTACCTTTTAGTTTAGATCAAGTTTGCATTAAGGGTTCTATTGTAATAAGAGTTATACACCAGAGGTGCCAGTTAGTGCGTGTGAAACTAAACTTCTAGAATTAAGGTTCTAAAAGTATATGCATCTCTGTTAGTGAAAGTAGATAATCGTGAATGCGGTTAATTTTCGGTTTCGCATAAACTAGTGAATTGGAAAAACACTTTCTGTTAAGCATTAGATTGTAATTAGATAAAATCAATTAGATATGAGAATCAATTGCTGATCACATGGAATAAATGATAAGTTACTTATAGAAAAAAATTGAATCTAGCAATTAAGCCGAAAATGTCTCCCAAATGAGTTCAACATGTCTGAACATTAGCAAATAAGTTGAATTAATTTATTTTCGTGTTTATTGACTATATAAATTTCAAATTTTCAGTCATTTATGGAAATAATCTTGAAATAAAAAATTTAAAAACCAATAAAATGCATTTTATTATAAATGAAGATAATTAAGATAATTCTTAAGACAAAAAATTCTTAGCACTATCGACTGCATAAATGAGCTACATTTTAATTAAGCAAAGTTATTCGTCTTCTTCATGATAATATGGAAATACAACAAAAACAAAGAAATTAGACATACTTAATTATAACACATAAAAATGTATAATAAATTAATTAATTTAAATTTATATTAAATTTGATATCTCTTTGTTGATTAAGTATGAAAATAATTTTCATATAATATATACAACAAATAAATAGAATATAACACATCATCAAATCATTAATCATTATATGATTTTGGAGTCAAAAGTCTTAATATTATTTATATTAAATACATCTTATCACTAAACAATAATCAAAAAATGTTAAAATAAAGTAAATATTTGAACATCAAAAGTAGCGTATAGCTGACTTTGAAGAGAAGAAAAGTACTGCTACGATCGATGAGACTCGACCCCAATATGTTATATACAATCAATATACTTTATGCCCTTCTTTTAGTAGTAGATACGTAACTGGGATGGGATGCAAGATGAGTTAAAAAAAACAATTTTTATGATAGAAAATTAAATAATGAATTGTCTGCTAAGGATATGTAAATATAAGAAAAGTAATGAACTATTCAATAATACTGGGTGTACAAAAAAGTTTCCGATACTATTTGTAAAATAAAATTGATTTTATCTTTCGAAAAAGTTTTTAGAGATTTTTCAGTCCAAACTACAAAATTTTTCTTATTATTAAGACAACATACGATATTTTGTCGAAAGAATTTCTAATCTAGATCCATTCTCCCATTTTTTCAAAATCGCTAAATCTTAACTCAATAGTAATTTACTGCATTTTTCAATTGAAATCCATTGAATTTGGTAGAAATTCCCCATTTTATGGTCTCAAATAATTTTTATAAGATACAGAAATTTCAAAAATTAGGTTTGTGTCCTAGATGTCAGATACATGCTATTGATTGGAAATGGACGAAGAATCGAATTTTATTAATAGACGTCAATGAATTTAATAGTACCGACTTAATTCCCAACTAGCTACATGTGGATACTAAAAAGATATTTTACTAATTATGTACAAATTATTTAATGTAATCTGAATATAGTCAATTAAAAGGGATATAGAACTTGTTATAACACTGAATATCGCATAGAGTTATATTGCTATTGAATATTCTCATAAATGTTCAAAACCGTGTGTTATACTAAACTCACCAGCTCAAGTCGTACCGCACTGCATATTCTATCTCAATATATTATCAGCAATGACATTTGGTGTAAATTGAGTTAAATTGCATTGGCAAAGCATCTCAATTAATTTTCGCTTCAGTTGAGTATTATAATTCTTTGCGGACACAACAAAAATATTCTTCCAGATAAGATGTTAACCGAGGCCGTCATATTTCTATTAATATTCTTTATCTCCATTTTATATATAATATGGCAGAAACAAAATTTTAATTATTGGAAACGCCACAATATTCCGTATATTAAACCTATAGCATTTCTTGGAAATCTTAAGGAGTTTCTAATGTTTAAGCAATCATTTTCACAGCAAATGTGGACATTATACAAGACGAAAGGATTTGAAGATGAACCAATGGCAGGGATTTATTCATTACATACACCAACTTTACTGATAAGAGATATAGATCTCATAAAACGTATTTTAATAAAAGATTTTAATAGCTTTTCGAATCGTGTTATTAAAGCCGATGAAGAGCGTGATCCGTTGGGAAAAAATAATTTGTTTTTTGTACGTAATCCGGGTTGGAGAGATCTGCGTCCGAAAATATCACCAGTATTTACAAGCGGAAAGGTTAAACAGATGTATCCATTAATGTTAGAGGTGAGTTTAAAATTATATATGTTATTTAAATTATAATTTATGTGGTTAAAATCGGGTATAAATTAACTGATACATATAATATAAATTAGCAGCACAATTGTGTAATAATAAATGTTAAGTTTAGTCTTTAAACTATAACCCAAGCAGACAGAATATTTCTACAAAATTATATCATCAACTTAAATAATGTGAAGAAAAAATGATAAAAGTCTTAGGACTCCTAACTAGGTGACCAAATGATCAACAAACGAAATCGAACTATAGATATGTTAAAAGAAACCAAGGCAGTAACACGCTTATAGTAAATATAAATTATTAAAAAATAAATAAATATAAATATATATAAAGGTAAAGACAAGGTTGATATATAAATTTAGAAGATTTGTAGAAGAAACCACAACTGGACGTCGCTTAAAGTAAAAATGATGTTGATATAGAAACTGGAAAAAATTGTTAAAAGTTTAGTATATAAATTCTGCAGATTTGATGAAAGACCGGACATTGTTTATAGTGTCTATAAAGATGATGTATATGTATAAACAAAACAGTTCGCGATATGTTTTTCTAACTAAGCTAACACAACTAATATTAAGTAGATTTATATACATTATATACGTAATCACTTGGGCACTTACCCTATTACATTCTCCCAATATATAGCATTTTCAAACTATCCTGTATTATTTTAAGATATACATATTTATTAACAAAATTATTGCTGTCTTCAGATTGGTGATGAACTACAGCAAAAACTGGATACTTTACCTAACGAAGCCATTATCGATGTTAAGGAAATTTGCGTACGTTTCACTACCGACCTTATAGGTACCATAGCATTTGGTATTAATGCTAATAGCCTGAAATATGACAGCGAATTCTATATACATAGCCGTGAAATATTCGAAGTAAGTCCAAGACGTGCCTTTGAAATAGCATCTCTGTTGTTAGCACCCAGCCTTACCATTCTACTGCGCATCAAAGCGTTTTCGAAGAATACAACAAAATTTCTACGTAGCAGCATAAAGCACGTAATCGCAGAACGAGAAAAATCTGGTGCCATTCGTAATGATCTCATCGATACTTTAATTGCAATGAAACAAGAAGCCAATTCACAACCTCACATCGATAATCCTGCAAAAGATTTAGATTATTTAGTAGCGCAAGCTGCAATCTTTCAAACTGCGGGCTCAGAAACATCATCGTTCAGTATGGCGTTTGCACTGTATGAGCTAGCATTACAACCAGAGCTGCAAGATCGCTTGCGTACCGAAATTAAGGAAGCTTTTGAAAGAGGAGATGGTCATATATCATATGAATTGATTCACGAGTTAACATATTTAGCACAAGTAATTGATGAAACATTGCGTAAATATCCTGTGCTTGGATTTTTAGAACGTGAGTGTACTGCCGCTGAATCTGGTTACTCGTTGCAACCTTTCAATGAATTCGCCGTTCCAGCGGGAATGCCAGTTTATATATCAGCATTAGGTGTTCATCGTGATGAAAAGGTTGGTCATACCCCTAATAGATTTTTGTTGTAAGTTTTAATATTAAATTTTTTATTAGTACTGGCCTGATCCCGATAAATTTGATCCAGAACGTTTTTCACCAGCTCAACGGGATAAGATAAATTGGGATGCTTATATGCCTTTTGGGGCTGGACCACATAATTGTCTTGGTATGCGAATAGCTTTGTTGCAAGCTAAATTGGGTTTAATATGCTTACTGAAGAAACATCGAGTTGTTGTATCTGAACGTACTGCTATACCTATTCAATTTGATCCAAAGTCCTTTTTACTGAGCAGTAAAGATGGCATGTTCTTGAAACTGGAAAAAGTTACAGATTAATTTAAGAATTTCTTCAAATGTACACTTTTTTAAATAAAACTAATATATTATCAATTTATTTTAAAATATTTTAAAAGCTAAGAGACGTGTGGATATGCAACGGTTGTGACATTAATATATTGTATTGTATAGAACAGTGGTGGATGTAAGAATTGTCTTAAGTAAAACATGTGAGTCCTTTGGTATAAACTATTATATTAAATTGTAAACATAATTTATATTAAGTTCATATATATAATATTTGTATTAATATGCTTAGTATATAGTTTAATCAAATTCATTTTATGAACAAATATTGACTGAGAAACAAAAAACTAAAATATCTGGCACGCTAAACTACATTGCCCAGATATTAGTCAGATTTAGTACTCAATTCAACAATTAGTAAAAATTCTGGGCGTACTGATTAATTTCCAATAAAACAAATCGGACATCTGAATGCAAAAAAAAGTTTTACATTAACAGTTGTCTGTGGAGATTTATATAACATCCTGGCAATTTTTCAAATAAATGGATTTTTCTCTTGATTAAAACATTTTCCCTATTTTTTGTTACCCAGCGCCACCTATCGGGATCCCACAAAACTTATCACTATAGTTATCAATTCATTAATAATCCATAATGACTTTAATATAATTAGATAGTTACAGAATAGATATATACATACACAATCTGATTTATAAATATATGTATAAATATATGTCTATTAATATAAAAATAACTATTAAATAAATAAAAAAAAATTATTTTTAGGTTAATGTATAAATATTTTAATATATTTTAGTGCTAATTCATTTATTTCTGTATATTTCTAATAATTTTTGTCAGAATCTGACTGATTTTAGGCAACTGACAAATATATCCCATATGGTCTAGTGGCTAGGATATCTGGCTTTCACCCAGAAGGCCCGGGTTCGATTCCCGGTATGGGAAAATTTTTTTTTCATGTATTGTTTTTATTTTACTTTTATATTATATTTATTTTATTTTTTTTATTTGATGTATTTTAAAAGGTATTTTTTTATTATTATTATTTAATTAATAATAAACAAACAATTTTTTTTTATTTTATATTACTTATGGTTTATGTCTAAATTTACGGGTATGTAGTTATATCACAGTAAAAATTGATTGCCTATTGCGTTCATTATTAGACTATTTTATCTCAGGTTTGAGGGAAAATCTGGGTCAAACTCTATGAATATAACTATTGAATCGATTACGTTACCACTATACTTTCGTTTTACGATTTTAGAGAATTTCTGTAATATATATATTTTTTAGTCAAAAGCTTCATATATTTTCAAGGTAAGATTAGGTTTAAATCGCTCGTTTTAACGAGAACCAGTCAAAGATATTTATTGCCTATTGTGATGTCGTTTTAGTTTCCAAACGGAGACGAGTTAAACCAACCATTGTCTCCTATATGGCTCTTTGGCTTATTCTTCTTTAACCATTTAGTTTCTCAGAATTTTTATGAAAAAAGATAGATGCATCATGAATTTGAATTTCCGACTCAAGTTAATAAATTTCTTAAAACTAGATGGTCTTATGAATGGCTAGAATTTTTTACTTTATTCGAGTTTTTGTGAGAAAAAGAGAGTACATCATAGAGTAAAGTATTGACTGGTACCTAGAGAAAGTTACAGTTAAAAGCACCTTTGCGTGGACTTTTATTTGCTATACAGTTGCCACGGAAGTAATTGTGTTCTGGTGTTGATACAACGGATATATTTTTGCGACTACTAATGTCATTCAGAGATGCAACGTAGGATAATATAATTTTGGATATACAGGCTGGTTGAAAAATTTTGAATGCGATACCTATTCCCCAATAAAAAATCAAAATTTATACGCCATTTTTGATCATCCAAAGAGTGCCGTTTGGTGATCTGTAAAGAATTTAATACGGAAAGTTTGGGGATCAGAATCTGATAATACATGTATACATTCTTCTAAAATTATATGAGTGGCAACTGTAAGTACTACTAGTTTCACTCGAAATACACGAGTAAAGTCTGGTCTCTATTAGAAACTTTAACTTATCTTTATTACTGATTAATTTCAAAACCTCCACGCTGCTATGTAGTTAGGTGCCGTCTTTGTATTTGTTATATTGACTGTAAAGGTTAGAAGAACTGTTCTGCAACCCTTTTTTTTATAGAGCTATGAATCCTTTTTTAAATTTATCTGCATATCTCAAAGAAAAATATGTAATAAAATTAAAAACTATAATATAAAAAATATCTTAATTTAAAGTTTAGTTGCTCTATGACGCAGCGTGATACAAATTTATCACATTTTTATCGCGCTCATAAACTTAAGTAATTTATTTCCTTCGCTTAAATAAAAGTTGTCACAGTTAAAATGTACGAGGATATCCTTAATGTAATGTTCTTGAAGTAAACAGCAAACTCAATAAATTCAATAAACGACAAGTTAAATGCTGCTTGGAGAAGGATGCTACTGGTTGCTCCCACGTATAATTTTAAGGAAGATTGAAAAAATTGGGGATTGGCACACAGCATAACAAGTACTTTGGGGTTACGAAAAAAGCACATACTCAGCAGAAAATACCAGAGAATAAATGCGACACGCTTGACGCATTTTAACTAGAAGAAAACGGAAGAAATCCAAAAAAAGGACAACAACGTAAGGACATTATAAACGTTTGTAAGAGAAAATCCTTGCAATCAGCTTTGTAGTTGCATTTCTTCTGGAATGTATTTAATGCTTGCCACTACATTTAATGATAATAAACTGTAGCAGCAGCGATGCATTATTCAGCTAATTCTGCTCTTTAAAATTTATGTCCTGTTTATGATGCGTAGATCCTTTTTCATTTGCACTGCATTAGAAGCGTACGAATATAGCAACTTTAATTCTAAATTACTGTAATGTATTTATTTGTCTACTTCATCTACTTTAATGATGAGCAATAGCGAAGAAAATCAGATTAATATATTTTATGTATATATATACGATAAATATCTATTTATATATATATATACGATTATACAACAATTTGCACATAATTTTTCAAGTGGAAGATACATAATATTTGGTTTATGGCTCCATACGAGTAGGAAGGGTTTAGATAATGAAGAGTAGAGTTGTCCAATGAAAATTTTCTGCTTTTGGAGTTGGATCAAACTACATGTCAATATAAACTTTGACTGTCATACTTAGATTTTATATGATTTTAATAATATATTATGCTATATTTAGACTACCGTACTTAAGTCAACAAATATGCAGCAATAAGTACCATTTTTCACATAATATCCATACAAAATCTATACGAAAATATGCTAAAAAGATTCCATAAATTTAAGTGTAAACAAAATACTACATTCGATTATGTTGCACAATATTCTACTTTATACAATATGACTATATAAACCTATAATTCTGAGCTTTCCAGAACTTATATACATAATTTTAGACAAAAATTGTAAAACGTCTTAAAATATATATCAATTCATCTATAGTTATTTATTGCATCATACGTTAGGTTAGATTAAATGATGTAGAAGAAGAAACGAATTCTACTCAATTAGCTCAATTAGCCGTTTAGATTCCACATTTCTTATAACAGTGAGTAAAAGAATAGTTATGTTAGAACCAGGCGGAAATATCTAGCCAATGTTGATACTGGCAATATCGCTGAGTAAGTTAAAGAATATGGAACTCAATAGATTACGCCTGATTTTAGTTAAGCCTGAGCATAGACATAACAGATGTTCTGGTGTCTTTTCTTTGAACGCCGGGTAATACTACCAAGCAGGCCAAGCTAAGCTCCCTGTAATTCTATAGTGCAGTGCCCCTTTAAAACAGATATTAATCTAAATACTTCTAATTTGCTGCTGTGTAGCACGTCACAGATTCTACAATTGAAGTAAGGGGCCATTTAGCTCTTGAACTCTTGAGGCTGTAGTCGTCAACTTGTAGAGGTCCAAAAAACATTTCTCTGAATTTTTTGATTTATTAAAATTAATTTTTATTACTTCTTTGAAACGATGTTTTTTAAGAAAGTGAGTTAATTTTATGTACGTTTCTGCGCTATTATAGGTTCCTCAGTAATTTATAATTGTGTAATCAAGTGTTGGCAAAACTTCAACCATAATGAAAGTACATTAATATTATAAAAGAAATGCCTTATTCAAGCACTATATATCAATATATATATAAGCAACGTAGAGTCGCGTTTGCAGAGTATTACAATTTTAATAACAATGTTATTAGTTTTGGATAAGATAGTCCATTATTAACCATATGTCAGATTATATTAAATTATGAAATAAAGCAAGTTCTTTTAAAAACCTTGCGTTACTCTGTGCCTTGTTTTAAATTGTTGTAAAATTTAATAATTTTAAATATATCATACCTATATATAATAAAATCATATGTCAATATATAATAATAATCAATAATAATAATCAATAATTTTAATCAATAATCAATATGTAATTAAATCATACTTAATGGACTTTTTTGGGTTAATGAACCATTTCACTATATATATATATATATAAATATATATATATATATATATTTAAAAAAAATAAAATAAAATAAAAAATACATTTCTCTGAATTACTTCTGCACATTTGTTTCATATTAAGCTTTCCGTTTGTATCTAATATCGCAATTTAATTAAGCAGGAAACTAATTTACAAAACACACCTCCAGCAAAATTATGCTTCAGCTATTTCCGGTGATAATACAAGAGACTATCATTGCATACATAATTACTTTGTGTAATTTAAATGTGATTATTCCTTGACATTAATACTAAGCTCCACCTTAGTATTTAGATCCTTAGAAAAACGAAGCCATTAAGTGCGGAATGAGCGGCAGAAGTTGAAAAGTGTGAAAAGCTTGCAAATGTAATGTGTTTAATTTAAAGTGCTAGATAACTGCACTCTACGTATATGTTTAAATGTGTGTGCTGGATTCTAGTACTTACATGAACACATTTTCATAAGTAAATCGTGGCCAATCACAAACAAGAGTCTTTCCGTGCTTTTTGAGTTGCACAAACGCTCCCCTCATACG